GTGGTAGTAGTGGTAGTAGTGGTAGTAGTGGTAGTAGTGGTAGTAGTAGTAGTAGTAGTGGTAGTAGTCGTAGTGGTAGTGGTAGTGGTAGTGGTAGTGGTAGTGGTAGTGGTAGTGGTAGTGGTAGTGGTAGTGGTGGTAGTGGTAGTAGTAGTAGTAGCAGTAGTAGTAGTAGTGGCAGTAGTAGTAGTAGTAGTAGTCGTAGTAGTGGTAGTAGTAGTAGTAGACAACGCCGGGTTCTCCACCAGAGGTCTCACCTCTCATCTGCACGGGTGCACCTTTCAATGGACACTGACACTTTTCCTCCCTTAACGCTTGGGCATTCAGTGCAAGACAGCCTCAGAACTGAGAAGGCCAGCAAAACCAGTTTCCTGAGCTTATGACGTCCCAAAGCTCTTTTGTCTCTGCCGTCTCTTTGCACTGTCCCATGCAGCTCTGCACCCCCCAAACCTTCCCCCAAACCCGGTTCCAGACCTTCCCAAACCGCCCGACCCCCGCCCAGGCGCTCGCAAGACCCACCGGGGTGCCTACTGCCACGGCTTCTTCCTGCAACTTGGTTAACATCTTCATTCGGCTTTGGGCCTGGCTTGCGAGCGTGGGGTCTGCGGATCCGGACTGTTGGACCCAAAACGACGCGGAGGAAGGACGACGGAGTCATGAGCAGAGGAACCTGTGCGCATGATGGACAAAATCCTGCACCACTTTGCGCACACTTTTCTTGCTGCCCTCGTTCTCCCTCGTTAACATTGGGGCCACCACAGTGAGAAAACAAAAACAAGTTGAAGGTCCAAAATCCTGCACCACCTCCTCAGAGGGGTCGCGCCAACATTGAATGAGGGGACACGGGGGTTGCTATGCGACCCTTCCAGGGTAAAGTGGTGAGGTGGTGCAGGATTTTGTCCATCAACAGTATGTCCCATGCATGCAGAATCCCATGGAACTCAGAAGACGAGTTGATCACCATGGGATCCAAGGACGAAAAAAACTCAAACACTCGATGATCGCCAGGAGAAGACGGGGGAGAACTGTTCGGTGTCAACTCACTGGGTCGGTGAAAATAGAAAAAATAGATGGCACCTGGTCAATGATGGCACCTGGTTAATGAACATGGTTCATGAAAACTGGCACCTTTAACCACTGTTTAAGCCACATATGTCACATATAAGCCACTGCTGAAAGGTGCCATTAACCAGTGGTTAACTAGGCGCCAATATATGGTCATTAACTGGTCAACTAGGTTAATGAACATATTGGCGCCTAGTGGTCCAGTGGTCGGACATACTGAAGCAGCTTCAGTTTGAGACAAACCACTAGTTGGCAAGCTCTGATCGAACGAGCAGAGGCACACCATGACATACCCACTTGGATCTTTTCAGGGGGAGATGTTCCAGCAAAACAGGTCAGGCACGAACCCAGCTCTTGCGCGAACCCGGCCATGAGTGTCAAATGATCAGGCGGGTATTCGCGGACGACTGCTTTTTCTGATCAGGCAGGTTTCTGCAGCGCGCAAATGTCCACCTGCCAGCGAGGTTTGCATTGGACACGGCACTCGAAAAAGGAAGGCCTCGTTGGTGGCCAGCAGGTGTCCTCCCAAAACAGGGCCCCCATTTGCACACAAAATCAGGCTTCCTGCATGCATGAGAAAATTTGATCGAGCCAGATTTGATGGAGTTAGGCCACCTTGGCAACTAGTCTTGGGGCAACTGCCATTGGGCCACCTGACACGGACCATCAGCCCTCTTTCAAAAGATTGGAGCGGTTGCAGCCTGGGCCGCGGGACAAAAAGGCACCCTGGTATTGGTGGTAGTATACGATATTTAAAAGTTGGGATGGGGAGTGTCCCATTCCAATCTACCCCAAAAGAATGGAACATGAATCAACCATCATACCATACCAATCCAATGAAACAGGTGTTCAAAAAAACTCAAGTCGAGCCAACAAGACACCATTCCAGGCGCCTCATGCGAGTTCAGGTGCTTCGACTTGATGTAGAGGAGGCATCCCTTTGCTCCCGCCACGCGCGTGAGGCGCGCATGTCGCTCACCAGCGTTTCCTCGTTGGATCGGTCGACACACCGGAAATCCGTGGTCCCCTCCCGTCGACCACCATGGGGAGGAACATACTTTAGGGATGAATCTGTTGAGGTTCCAAAGAAGGAGGGATTCGAACAGGTGAGTGAGGTCAGTGAGCAGACTGGTTTGTGAACGGATTGTGAACGGGCGCAAAAAAACAAAAGTTGGTCACCTGAAAATGAGGATCCACTACTGCGTTGGGGTGAGTTCCCTATTCACATGGCTGCCAATGTCTATCTGGCCAGATTTACTACAACCCTGAATGAACCGAATACAGCGATCTCTTGGATGTTTGCTCTACACCATCACCAACAAAATACAGGTGTTCTTTTCATGGTGGCCATTAGTTGCAAGGGCTGACCCGAATGCCGTGGATCCCAAACAAATATCATGGTGTTGCTACAACCAAACCCAGCCCAGACCGTCTCGGCCGTTTCCCTGCGTTCTGCCACCCTAATCCTCCACCAGGCTGCTACACCACGACCAGGTCCGGTGTTCGCCCATCTCGTCGCTGAAGGAGCCCTCGATCACAAAGACCTCCTCCCCGTCCTTCGGAACCTCCACCGTGCCTTCGCACGTCTCGGCACGTCGGTGTTTCCGCCCATCCAGACGCGAAACCGGAGCAGCTACAAGCTACGGAGTGCTTCAGGGCTCATTGTAAGCAAATAGTCCATTACAGTCTGGGCCAGGAAACGTTTCAGGTGTTCTGATCGGAGGGAACGTCGGGGTGTGTGAGGACCTGATCCGAGCGAGGTCAGATGGAAGTGCGAGTTTGAATTGAGCTTGGTGTGAGCTTGGAACTGCGAAAGTTAGAAGTGTGAGTGAGTGTTTGGTCCAAAGGACATGATCTGTTTTGTTGTTGTTGCTGTTGTTGTTGTCCGGTCGACTGAAGTGTTCATTCCGGCCTCGCTGACCAGGGCTCCAACGTTCGAAGTGCACCTTGATGGCGGCTGCATCTGAGTGGAGGGTGAACAAATGTGGCCATGGGTGGAACTGATGTGGCCACAGTGGGCGACATTTGGTCCAGGTGAATGTCACTGTGAAGGTGAGATTATGTGGAATGGACTGGTACTACGGTCCAATATGGTGTGGTGTTGGGGGGGCTGCAAACTGTTGGAATGGCCAGATCATCAGTGCGAAGGAAGATTCTATAACCTGAAAAGCGGTCGTGTGTTCAAGGGCTTCTTTGGGCTTACCAGAGTTCACTGCTCACCCACCCTCACCCACATACCACCCACGGCCACATCTGTTCCCGTGCCTCTTCCAAGGGGGACTGGAAGACGCGCAGCTCCAAGGGTCCTGATGCACCACTCCGCCTGTCGCAATGCTCTGAGGGTCCCGAAAGAGATCGTTCTCACAGCTTGAAAGAGACCATTGTTTTGGCAAGGGAAAGAAACCTTTTGCTGCCCCATTTCGGAGTCTAGACATCCCTTAAAGTAAAACCCTTCGCCCTTCCAGTCACCACTGTTTGCAGGGTAGTTCATGGCATGGACGCCCCAGACCCCACCAACTACGTCGAAAACTCACCACGCTCCGTCCAGTTCGCCCGCGGAAGTGGTCAACAACATGCTCATCATGAAGGATGGAACTCGTCCGCGTCGCCCGGTGTGAGTTCCAGGAATCCCGGCAGCACTTGGACGGGTCTCTGTGGAGATGGAATAGTTACATACATTTTAATTTACAAGTCTCTATAGTGATCCCCAAATAGGTCAACTAGATACAGTATATAGATAGAAACGGTGTCCAATACACTTTGGGTGGGGATCTACTTTTCATGAATTTTCCATCTATTTGGGGGTCTACATACAGTCTACAACCGTACCCTAATTGTAAATGACCCAACCATGTAGGTAACTCTTCCATTCCCATCATGGATGGGCTGGGGAGTGTTTTGGTCGGAAAACGAAGGAAATGGGGGCGACTCTCCGTCCAAAAACGAATGGTCCGATGGGAGGAAGAGAGACTGGGAAGAAGTCCCACCTACCAAAATGACTCGACCAAAAGAACAAACAAATCTAAAATTGAATTGGGAGAGAAAAAGAAGAGTGCGAATCGTCCGACTAGTCATCACATCTGGCACCTCCACAAGAGGGGAAAAGGAACACTAGTCATCCCAAGCCCTCACCCACGTCACGAGAGCTCATCCATGCTCATCCCCGCAAATCAAATCAGATCGCCATATCTCCTGTTTCAGCCTCATCTTCCCAACCATCGCCCAGCTAACAGCTACCGGGTGCTTCGCATCAGCGACGCGCGCTGACGAGCACGCTCTGCGAGGCCTCCACTGGGGGTTGGAAGAACTGATGTCCCACTGGCTGTGGTCCGGCTCATGGTGCTTCTCAGACATCCTCGTCCCGAAAACGTGGCTTTTTGGGCGCGCCGAGAAAAAGAAACAAGACACGAAGAAACGGGTTGGTCACTTGATGACTGGCAATCTGACAGATGCTCAGCATCAGCAGGGATGCTGAATTGAACTGCTGTGTGAACAGATTTCCTTGCACTTGCTTTTCCATGGTTTCTTCACAGCGGCGGTTGGCACTTGAATTCGGTTTCTTCATCAGCCGACACTTCGTCGTCTCTGTCTTCCAATCCCCAGGTTCCCAGCCCGGCCAGGGCCCCAGGGCCTCTGAAGCCCGGAAAACCCACGCGGTTTCAAGGTCCCAGACACTGACACAACTTCACCAAGATGGTGCAACCCTCCGGGCCGATGCGGGGCGTGTGCTTGGAACCGATGTAGTTCCGCACATAGGTCATCTGCGGCTGTGTGTTCCAGTCGTCGAACCAAGCGCCCTGCAGGACGATGAACTCCTGCGCAAAGGGCTGAGGCGAGGGAAAGCAAGGAATGGACGTTTCGTAAAGGTTCAGGTATATCCCAGTATCAGGTTGAAGTGGATGATGATGGTTAGTTAGTAAATTAGTTAAAGACCCTTCCCCAAATTATGTGATCATTCTACCGACGGTTACTAGTCAATTAGTAATGGGATGCACCTAAACATATCGGCTTGTACTTTCATAGTGAGAAATTCTCGTTTGCGATGGGCCTTTCAACTGTCATGTGGGAACTTGGCCACAACAGTGATCCAAATGGTGTCGCAAGAAAAAAAAGATCACAAACCAACCAGAGGTATTCAAGGACCCTACTTCGCCTAAAGGACCCAACGATAGTCTAGAACCGTACCTGGCTCCAGGGCCCCCCCATGGCTCCTCTCCGCCCACATGCTGATGCATGGGGAACGAGGCGTTCGGCTGGAAGCTCACCACGGTGGTCGCCCGCGCCACTTCACCGCCCAGCCTGGGCGGAGGACCCAAGGTTTCCGGGGAAAAGGCTATCCAGCACGGGTGAGAAAAAAGAGAAGCAAATCAAGCATGATCAAGCATGAATCAAACCACCCCAAACCACTCAGCAAGTATTCAGTCTGAATAGTTCCATGCCAGTTTCTGCCTGGATGTCCGTATTCCGAAGCCCCAAAGGCCACTGTACACTTTCCAAGAGAGCTTGAACAGCCCTTTGTCGCCCATCCCATATGTACCACAGACCAGGGTCCTAATTTTGGCCTCTCAACCTCTCTTGGTTGTCCCGTCCCCACCGCGTTAGGCCGCGCCTTTCGATCATCTTCCGGCGCACGCCGCCGGCCCCAGTCTCGATCCAGTCGATGCCATCGGTGTTCACCAGGCCTGTCGGTGGAGGCACTGTTCGTGGCTGTAAGAATGCATCCCCCCTAAGGCTCTAAGGGGTGTCGAATTATATAGCTCCTTAGAGGTTAAGGGGTATCCACTAACCACCCCTTAGGGGGCCCTGGTAGGGGCTACGTCAAATTGAATCAGGTGCCCGATCCGTTTTCCTGCACTCTTCGAAAGTCGCTTGGTAGCCGGTTGCCCGATCCGCTCCCCACACACACAACATCGACACACACGCACGAGCACCGTGCCACACGCGCGTCGCGCCACGCGCGCCCGGTTCGGGCCAAGGCGCAACTCTTCGATTTTTCGGCGTTGAGCTCGATCCATTTCTGCGCCTGGAGCCGAAAGAAGGAGGAGGGTCCTCACCGGGGTGTTCAGCTGGGCGAAGCTGGGGGAGATGGAAAACATTGGAAAAAAACAAAGATGGTGAGGCCTGGGCCTCACCGGCTGGGGAAGATGGAACCAAGGTGTTGATCTTGGCCAATGCTCCCTGAGGTCTTAGAGCTTTTGCCCAGTTGCGCGATTCGGCGATTCGTTGCGACCCAGCAGACAGGCGGTGGCAACGCACAAAACAGCAGCCATAGCCAGCCAGACCCTCCTACTTTTAAATCGGAGGTGCGCCTGAAGAGCTTCATGACGCCCACTAGTCTCAAGACGGAGAGTCCAAATATACAAAACAAAATAAGCAGGACCCACATTGTTCCCACCAAGCACTGTTGGTCTACACTCCCAAGCCCTAAAGAACAAACCTTGCAGATCGCGCAAACCCCTAAAAGACGAACTAAAATAATAGCATCTTGCAAGTTCTCTGGTAGTGTGTGGCAATTAACGCAAGTTCGTGACAAATGTCGTACCAGAATGGGAAAGTGGAGGGCAGCGAGGTAGGAAAAAACACGGCGCTCTTTTTGGAGGCAGGGGTGAAGAGTTTATATGTGGCTCTTTGCCCGGATCCTCCTGCGAGAGAAGAGAGAGAAGAGAGACGGAAAGACGAGAGACAGAGAGGAGAGAGAGAGAGAGAGAG